CCGGGGCGGGGCGCGGCACCTCCCCCCGGGGTCCGGGTCGGTGCAGAAGCCCCGCGAGGGAGGGGGACGGACGGCGCGGCCGAGCGACGGACTCCCCGCCGCTCCGCCCGCGGGCAAAGAAGACTCGGACACCGGCGCTTTTCTCACTGCGACCCGCTTTAATGACACACCATCGACAACCCTTTGCGGGCTTCAGCCCCGCAAATCGTTGCGTCATTGGTCTTGCTTTACAAATATTTACAAAGCCTTTCCATTCAGTTTTAGCTCTGAACAGGGTAACAAAAACAAAAACAGAAAAACTTAAAACTACAACATTTTAAAAATGTGTAAACAGTTTATTTTACATCGTTGTAAAATATAAGAATTGTTCCTAATGCAGCTTCAGTCGCTTTAAAGTGAGCGGATATCCCTGTGCCCGGGAGTAAGGAATGAGAAACTCTTCATAGAAATATTGTGCTCCGGTGTGCAAAAAAAAAAAAAAAAGGAAGAGAACAGACTCGAGTGCACAACAGTGAGAAGACCACAGAAGTCCACGTTATAAAACACGGATACGAGGTTGCCGCTAATCCATCCAGGGGCTGGGGGGGAGAGTCCAAAGGAGGATCTCGCAGAAGAGGAGGGGTCTGGCCACTAATGCAGCTCACTGAGAGAAGCCGGGACACAGACCCGCCTCACCGGGGACAGAATTCTGGGCAGAGACGGCATTTGCTTTGTGCACCTGCAAATGAAGGGCTTCTACCCCCACCTGGGCACCACCGAATCAAATAAGTCTTCACCCCTGCGTAATTGTTCGTGGGAGACCCCAAAGGGACACCTCCACGTGGAAATATCGCATTGGGTGCAGAGTCCTGCATCCGGCGCATTATTTAGCAGCAGAATTATTCAGAAATGGCAAGGCTCGCTCTCGCTCTCGCTCGCGCTTTTTTTCCGAGCGACGCTACTGGTGCCCTTCCCTTTCTAATCTAAAAGCAGTGGGGACGGGGAGGGGGCTTAAGAGTTCAGATGATGCTTCTTCGGGAGGTCCAGTAGAGCAGCTTTAAACGAAAGGATTTAAAACTAAGCCAGCCTCCAGCGCTAGATTACACTCTGCTCCACCAAGCACGTGATTCACACCCAGGTACCATTATCGAGATGCTTCTGAGTTACTGACGATTCAAGACAGGTTTTTCTTTTTGTTGATAAAGACTTTGATGGCTCCAGTAAAATCAGCTGAGAGAAGGACCTCCGCGTGGTCCGCCTTCAAGGCTCCTTAAAGGACAGAAGCGGCAGTTAGAGAAGAGGGCCAGGAAACAGGCGGCCCGTGGCAAAAGGGACCCAGGCCCCCTTCCGAGCGCCCCACCCAAGCCCCAAATTCGGCTCGGGGTCAGAGGCCAGGAACCGGAGAGAAGGGAAAGAGCCGGAAGAGCGACAGGCCCCGAGAGGAGGGCCAGGGAAATGCAAAGGAAATGCAAAGGCTGCGCCGTGCTGCGGATTAGGCAAAATCGGGGGGAGGGAAGGGTGCATGGCCAGATTTTCCATTCCCCTCCTCAGACTCTGGAGGGGTATTTCAGTGAGATTTTCTTTCTCCCCACCACAACCACGCCAAGCCCATTTGAGTTCTGAGTTCTGCTCGCTTCCAAAGGACAGGGAAGCGTGCAGCCTGTTGTCTGTCACTGTAACTGGAGGAGCTGTGGGGGCTCCGTGGCCACATGCATCCAGATTACATTTGTGTGAGCTTCCCCGAAGGCCTTGGTGCTGCTAACTGGGAATTCTGGGGCTTGGAACCCCCCCCCGGAGGACCCCAGGCCGGGGAAGGCAGTCCTGGACACCCAACACCTACCGGAAGGAATGGGGTCTGCAGACACCGAATCTTCGCTTTTGCTTTCGGCCGGGGGCTTCTCAGCTGTTTCGGAGGATACCATCAAGCTGGGGTTCGGGGCGAAAATGGCTGAGGTGACAACAGCATTGTGCGCTAGAAAGAGAAGACAGCCCGTCAGGACCCATTCTCTGAAGGAAACGCAGGGAAAGAGAATGTTCTTCCTCTGCAGGTGCAGTGTGCGTGGGCCCATCTCAACGGGAGAACCCGCAGCAGCGATTATGATGGAGAGATTTCTGCTGTTTTACTCTTTGATATGGGGATTTTATCGTGTACATCATCCTGGAAAGCTTCTGACCCTGAGGGCAACTTAGAGGTGTTTTGAGTGTTTAGAGGTGTTTTCTCGCGAAAACTCACAAACAATTCACAAAAAATGTTTCAGCTCCTGCACCCCCAAACACACCCCTGGTTCCAGCTCTGGGTTGTACAAGCTGATGTTTGCAACGTGTTTCTTGAGGGCCCCGGACTGTGATCTGCCAGCTACTTCCTCTTGTCCTAGACCAACTGCCTCGGATAGCTAAAATCCACCCTTCCCAGAGCAAATTCAAGGGCCCGAGGGGGGTGTGTGCGTGCACTTTACCTTTGACCCCCTCCCAGAAATCGTTGCGATCTCTCCTGACGGAAGAGAATTTGCTCAGGTCGTGGTAGGTGCTCCAGATGTAAACGTACTTATCTTCCGAGCCGCTGACAATGTACGTGAAGTCGTGGCTGGAAGCGGAGAAAGGAGACACCTTTGTTTCCAGATCGAGTTCTCCTCTGCACCCCCGCCCCAAGAGAAGCCTCGGCAGCATGAGCGGTCCCAGGCTTTGCGTTTATGACACGTTTTTCCTGCCCTTCCACCCAGGAGCTCTTCTTCACCTGAAGCTGGCTTTGATTTGGCTGCTGCTGTTGACGTAGCCCTTGTACTTCATCGAGAGAGACAAGTCCCGCAGATCGTACAGCCGGATTCGCGAGTCGTTGGAGGTCACGAGGATCTAGCAAGGGAAGTCGGCATTTTCAGTCAGGGGCGGCACGTTTTGAGCCAGGCCGGCAGATGCTCTCCTGCGCCGCGCCTGGGATGAGAGCCAGGTGCGCTCAGATCAACCTGCATTTTAAGTGCTGCAATACGCGTCGTCAGATCTGTGGTCTGAATTATTTTGGGAAGTCATGGGGTTTACTTATCATCCAACTTCTTAATTTTTTAAAAAATAAAAACCAATGGATGCAGTCAACTTTATTCTAATTTCTCACAGCAAATGGAGATGGATCTGTATGACACAAGTAGGCCAATCCAACACCACTCCTTCCCCCCCCCCCCCGTGCCAAATGCCTGGAAGTTGCTGGTGGGGAAAGCAAGGCTCTCTGCACATGCTTAAAGGCCCTCCTGTAACTGACCTACAAGACTCGGTGATGGGTTTACTAAGCGGCCCTGTTATTTTTAGCTTAGAGCACAGTTTAACACGTGGCCTTTAACTTAAAATTTTATTAAGACCAACAGAAGAGTTGCTTCTGTGGCTTAATGTTACGACTGTCACCTTGCCTAATTCCGTTTGCAGCTTCTTCTCTAGAGGGAAAAATTTGGATAGGGCTAACTATCGAGGACCGGGAGGGACAGTCTCCCCAGGTCAAGGTGGCATTGTCCTGGAGCATGGCCTGGTTGGTCCTCAGGAAGCCAACAGCAGCCTCTCTCACAAACCAGCTGGTCTTAAGAAGGGAGAGAGGCCGTGACTCCTGGCCATATTCCCTTTCCTGGCTAAACCTGCCAGCAGGCATACGACCTGACACCACCCATGCCGCCCCACATAAAGCCCCAACCCCCACGGAGCCAAATCCTGAGAGACCACAGCATGGCCTGCTGCTACCTTGTTTTCTCCCGGCAAGGGCTCGATCCCAGTGATCTTCCTCCCAACTCGATTCCGTCCTCTAGTTGACCGCACGTGGATCTGGGTATGATACTTCAGATGCTAGAGAGAAGCAAAGGGCAAAGGAAATTTCCCAGGTGCACCGAGCTGCAGAAGAGCGCCACAACTGAAATGGAGTTGGGCCCTGTGGAGATCTCAAGGAAAAAGGGATGGGGAGCTGGAAGGGGCTTGCTTCTGGACACTGATCGGGAACGCAGGCCAAGATGGGGTCCGCGGGGCTCACCTCTGTGTCATAGAAGATACACCGGCCGTCGTAGGTGCCGATCACGGCGTATTTGCCATTCTGGCAAAAGTTTGCGGCTGTAATCAGCTTGGTTTGCCCATCCACTTCATTCCAGAGTGCCACCTTTTTGTCAGGAATGTTCCAGAGTCGAAGCTTGCCATCCAGCGAGCCGCTTAAGAAGTATCTGTCATCCTAAAAGGGGCAGGGGACGCCAGAAGGAATTAGCCCTTTCAACTCGGAACCGGGACAATGATCGGGAAGATGCAGCTACGCTGGGCACCTGCCAGAGGACGATCCTTGGGCCAACTCTGCTCCAAGACAACTGAAGATGCTTGAGATCATCAACCCCTGTCCTCAACTGTGCACTGGGCATGCTGGTTCCCCCCCCCCCCCCCCCCCCCCCC